AAAGAAGGAAGGGAGGAAGAATGAATAAAGAGCTGTAATAAAAGATCTGATGGATCGTCTGAAATCTTCAGATTTAGTGAAAGAACTAGTGGGTTGCATGGACTCTTCAGGGAAACAAATGGTTGTGCATTTAACCCTAGGAAGATCCTGAGAGGGGAATTAAGCATAATAGCTTACGTTAAAATGGCTGTGGAGGACTTGAGCAGGACCAGAGGGGACAGGACATTCCTGTCAATTACAACGTAGCATTTCACGACATGACAATAAAGTACAGAAGAGAAATCAGACAACTGCCTTTGTTCTATCAGACAGTGGGAAACACTAGTGTTGAGGCAATGCAGGAAGTCAGAGGTAGACGTTGCATTTGCAAGCAAAACATGCAGATCTAGCTTTAGTGTGACTATTGTTGTAGTTTGTAAATAATGCTTCCTAGCTTAGGTGTGGAAAAATGAACCAACTGTTATTGCTTAGACTTAACCTTGTGGATTTAGCTGTTATTCCCTTGTGCAGGAGAGCTTACTGATTTTATCTTCAAAAGTTTCCTGAAATCCTCTTACTATAGTTACATTTCTATCAGTTACATTTTGTCTGCTTGCCTGTTTTGGACCACTGATACATGTCTTTAGACATTCTCTTTTTCTGATTAAGCAAGGAAAATTCTGCCGGTATGAATGAAATTGACTAAACCAGTAAACCAGCATAGAGTATCTAGCTTGCTGTTCCAAACAATAATTTGTATCTACTTGCTTTGAATCAGTCTTCAAGAGGGGATTAGCAAATACATATTGGCTCCCACACATTATGCAAACTCAGGACTCACACAATTTTCAAACAGCCCTCTGAACATTGTATATTTTTTTAGCCAGACAAGAAAAAATAGATATGACTTAATCATTAAACTGGAATCAGGGGATAGTAAAAAGTAGCGCCATGCAGTGCTTCAGTTGGAAAGAGAAAAAGACACAAAACTTCTATGGCAGCTTCTAATAGCATCCTTTTTCAGGAAGGTGCATCTGTCTTTTCCTGGTGCAGGTTTGGGAAAAGATATTTGGTTTAAGGACTTTCTCTAAGCATGATTTTTTTTGCAAAGCTTTAATAAAATCCCTAATTAAAAACACTACAGATCAAGTCTTCCCTAGCTGTCATCATGAAACAAAATAAGAACATTCAAGGGAATTATGACTGAAGAAGGTAAAGGTAAAAGTTCCCCTTCAACATATGTGCTAGTCATTCCCAACTCTAGGGGGTGGTGCTCATCTCTGTTTCAAAGACGAAGAGCCAGCGCTGTCCGAAGACGACTCCATGGTCATGTCACTGGTATGACTAAATGCTAAAAGCGCACAGAACACTGTTCCCTCCCCGCCAAAGTGGTTCCTATTTTTCTACTTGCATTTTTACATGCTTTCAAACTGCTAGGTTGGCAGAAGCTGGGACAAGTAACAGGAACTCACTCCGTTATGCAGCACCAGGGATTCAAATTGCCGAACTGCCGACCTTTCTGATCATCAAGCTCAGCATCTTAGCCACTGAGCCACCGCGTCCCTATGACTGAAGAAAGAAATAGCCAAATATCCATACCCATTTGGAAAGTCCAGGATTATTTGCCTCACCCACTATTAACATGAAATATGTTTTCCTGCCTGTATTTTCCTAAATATTGTCC